CAGTCATGGAGTTACAGCCCTTGTAAACTCATAGAATTGAAGAATTGGAAGGGTCCTATAGGTCATTAAGTCCAAAACCGCACTCAGTGCAGGAAATCCAGCTAGAGCATCCCTGGCAGGTTCAGCCTCTTTTTGAAAATGCCCAATCCACCTCCCTAGGTAATAGGTCGAACCTCTCTTACTGTCAAGAAGTTCCTTCTAATGTTCAACTGAAATCTACCTTCCTGTAACTAAAACCCTTATATTAATCATTAGATTGGATTAGACGATGCATTAGTAAAGACAATAATGCTAGGAAAGGTAGAAGGAAGTAGAAAGAGAGGAAGATTGCATGCCAGATGGATAGACTCTATTAAGGAAGTCACGGGTATGAATTTACGGGACATAAGCAGAACAGTGGAGGAAAGAGAGTCTTGGAGATGTCTCATCCACATGGTTGCCATGAGTTGGGGATGGCTAGATGGCAGCTGACGACAACAAAAGATTGAAACGACTGGATTATAGGAAAAGCAATTCCACCTAAACGTCAGGAAGAATTCTGACAGTGGAATGTGCAGTCTTGGAATTAGCAACAGCAGCTTCTTTTATATACTGCTTCATGCCGCTATGCAGTATCTCAGCAGTTTACAACTTTAAGCTAATTGCCCTCAACAAGCTGGATACCTATTTTCTCGACCTTGGAAGGATGCAAGTCTGAACCCTAGCTGGTACTGAACTCGCAACCTTGTGGTTAATTAGTGAGTGGCCTTGGTGGAGTCTCCTTTGGAGATCTCTAAGCAGAGGTTGGATTGTCATTTGTTGTGAGTGCTTTAACTGTGTCTTCCTGCATGGGGGATGGACTGGATGGCCCTTGGAGTCTCTTCCAACTATGATTAACACCAACCTGATATTGATCATAAAATTTCAAAAAGAGAGATTACTTTAGTGTTTCCTTTAACCTGTGATTTTTACACATAATTCTCATACTGCAGCAAGAAAACATTCCTAAAAATGATTTTGCATCACTCAAGGCTTAGCCATTTGTAACAGTGTTAATTAACAAACAGATCTTGTAAAAAGTTAACAGATCTGTTTTTATTTCTTGTTCTGCTTGTGATTTAGGTTTTGAATCCTGCATTATCTGCCTAGAATATATTTTAAAATCCTGTATATAATCTCCTCCCTCCCCCAACAATATACAGCAAAAACAAAAAAGAAGTCACAGCAGATGTCCTACATATTATTTTTCTGCTATTGTCATTTTTCATACTGACAAGGAGAGTGTTTTTTTTTAACATTAACATTTTGCAGTGCAAGTGTTTTAAAACAATGGTTCGTTTCATTAATTAGCCTGCTGGTTTCTCAAGCTAACAGTCAAATTTAAGCAAGCAAGACACATGCAAGCCTGACCTCTGAAGAGCAACACTGTACACTATGTTAAACATATTTTTAAAAAGTATGCTTAATGCTAGTTCATTGATTTATTTTTCCCAGCAACAACAGTTACACCATGGTTCAGATCCAGGGGGGAAGAACCTTTACCTCCTCATACCATAATCACTCTATCCCATAGTAGTTGACCATTCAAACTGTCTGGGGAAAGGGGGCAAATTCATTCTCCCTATGTCCTATGATCCTAGTCTGAACAGTTCATCCTGCCAATGATTTCTCCCATGTAAAAGAAGCAATCTAGAGGATTTGAAGCCCATGAACATTCAAGTACTAGTTACAGACTATATCCAAAATCCCAACAAAATGGAAGCAGCACAAACACTTGGCACAAAGGCTCACAAAGATCTGTCTTTTCTATTTGTGAATGGGGAAGGCAAGATGATGAAACTGAGGTTGTCATATCTTGGACACATAATGAAAAGACATGGATCACTAGAGAAAATAATAATGCTAGGAAAGGTAGAGGGTAGAAGAAGGCGATAAAGTCCGCATGCCAGATGGATGGATTCAATGATGGGGGCTGCAGCCATATATTTGCAGGGCCTGAGCCAGGGGTAGGCAACCTTTCTCCTTTAAGGGCCGAGGGACTTCAACTCCCAGAATCCCAGGAGCTATTGGCCAACATGGGACTATTGGCCAACATGGCTGAGGCTTCTGGGAGTTGAAGTCCCTCGGCCCTTGAAGGGGAAAGGTTGCCTACCCTTGGCCTGAGCAGAGCAGTGGAGGATAGGGAGTCTTGGAGGTGTCTCATCCACAGGGTTGCCATGTGTCAGAGTCAACTCGAGGGCAGCTAACAACAACAAAAGTATCTATAGGCGTTTTGCACGTATTTCCAGGGCTCTCACCTCTCTCAGAAATCAATGGAACCCAAAATGTATAGGTAGTTGGGTTCTTCTTTTTATTTAAAAATAGCATGTTCAGAACAACTATAAGTCCTTCTATTGGAGAAGCAGCATACCTATCAATGACCCACTGGATAACAAAAGTCCTCCATGATTTCAAAAACATGTGGAATTTCTCCAGCCCCATCTGCACAGGTCAGAATACTTGAGGGGGGTGAGGGTGCAGCCAGGATTATTATCGCCCCAGAGTTACCCCCTGTTATCTGAGGCTCTCTGTTGTGACACCAGGCAGTGGTTTGCATGCGTGTCCTATTGTACCGCACCTGCCCCTGCTGCCACTGGCAAGAGTCACTTCAGAAAGAGGAACCCAGTGTCAATCATATGGCTGGATGCTTCGTAGCAACTCTTGCTAACAGTGCTGGTGGTGGCATCAGTACAGTGTAACTCATTTTATACAGCCACCATACATCACAACAGAGGGTTCCGGATGATCTGGAGCAGATGGTGAGTTTATTTAACTAATTTAAGG